TCGACTGCCATTTCGACGACCTTGACGGTCCTCAACAGCTCCGATACTTCTTGGTACTGGCACGACTCCTCTGAAATGCGACTGTAAGCTGATGAACTCTAACGCAGTATTCCCTTGGAGCACACTCTCACGGGGTGAGCATCTAGTCGCAGTTCGAAAACATCTCTTCACTAACACTCGACGGCCAGGACCAACGCCACCACCGGCGGCACCCCAGCACTAAGGGGCCAATGGACGCTTATGACAGCAATTTTGACTCTGGGGATCGGAGTAACACTTTCATAAGACAAAGCCTTGCGAATTTGCGGTCCTGGGTTTACAACTATTGCGACTTTGAACTTCCGGTGTCCGTGGTGCCGACCTTGCAGGCAATCCAAGACCGTTTGATGGCAATATAAAGAGGATATATACCCACGTACGGGCAAGTAGATGCAGAGAAAGAAATAAAAAATATACAACAGTGCATAAGAGAGAAAGAAATGCTTAGGAGGTGACGGCGCGGCATATAACCCATGATTATAAATATAGACGTAGGAATGCATACTGAATAAACCGGAGAAGGACGTTTGACGCCATACCCCGACGGTGAAAATTGAAACTTGAGGTGTCCAAAGCAATTTTTGCATTACGACATTGCAAGCAGTGTCTGAATCGTACCTTCCTGCCCTCCTACGCTCTCGACTAGGGTATCCAAAATGTACAATAACGATAGCGATAGCTCTCCTCCTCACCTCCTCCACCTCTCTACGCATATGGAATATATATATGTAATGAGCGTATTCAGGTCCTTTGAGGGTCCCAGCAACGTCGAATCACGAGCAGCTCCGCCGCATACTCATCGCACGAGCGCCCGGCCCACCAACATCGCCCCAATCGCCAGCCAGCCAGCAGCAACGAGCAGCGCAGCCGCAGGGCGCAGCCCCACAGCACCGCTCTTCTTGCTCCCGCGACTCGTGCTCCCGAGCTCGTTTTGGAAGTTGAGCGGGTCGTCCTTGCCGCCATGCCCGTTTGACGTCGCCAGCACCGACGTCGCAATGGTCGCTGCAAGTGACCGTCAGCTCAAACTCCATCGGTGGGTACGCAAACGGCGAAGAACGCACCAGTATTATCCATCTTCGTCAGCGCAGTCGTCGCGAACGTTACTCTTGGCGCGCCGCTGATCTCCGTCTGCGCCGAGTCGCTCAAAAACACGAGCGCAAAGCCCGGCGCGGGCACCTTCACGGAGCACGTCTTCGCCGTCGTGTCGCACTGCACCGTCTGCACGTCCTTGGTCCCCTGCAGCCGCCCGTCCGACTCGAAGTTGCCGCCGAATGTCTGTCGCCACTCATCAGCCTCCACTTATTTTTACGAGGGAAAGAAGGAACGCACCTGCCCCGCCCATGTATAACCCCCCTTCTGCGCCACGCTCGTCGCGGTCAGATATTTCACCTTCACCTGAGTCGGCGTCGTGTTCCCCCCATCGATGCTGATCACCGCCGTCACGTCGCTCGCCCCGCTCGGGTCCGTGATGTAGTTGAACAGCCCCACCCGTACGGGATTCCCATTCTCGTAAATCCCATACGCGGGCGTGAACTCGTTGTTCCCGTTCGCCTGCAGGTCGAGGATTTGCGTCTGGTTCGAGGGCCGATGGCCTCGGCGGCGACGAGCGCGGAGTAGTAGACGGGCCCGACGGTCCATTGGTGGAAGGTCGATTGGTTGGTGGGCGGGGAGGTGAAGGGCTGCCAAGCGAATCAGCTTAGGTATGAAGGCCAGAGAAAGAGACGAAGCGCACGTTATAAAGGACATTCTGTCCACCGACGTGGAACATCGCGCCGCTAAAGTTCGAGTGCGCCATCTGCAGCGCGTAGTCGAGACCCCAGAGAGCCGCACCGAACGCGTCGGAGATGCCGATGAAGCCACCGCAGGAGGCCTGGGGAGATGTTAGTCCGGGCTCAAGATTTCAAAGAAGAGGGGAAGAGGATGAAAACGACGAGCGCGACAACCCCACGACCACGATTTAGAGCCTGGGCCACGCTACTGCAGACCAAAATCGTATGTCCCCGCGTCAGACACCAGCGCCGCAGTCCCCTCCTTCCAGGGCATGCGCCGTGGAACTCCGCAGACCACGGGGCTCCTCGCCACGCGCGCACATGTGCTCCTTACACAGAAAGCGCACGCACTGTATTCGTCTCAAACATCAAGAGCTTCTTCCCCTTGCTCTGCGCAAACGCCGTACTATTCAGGTACGGCGCCAGCAGCGACGTGTGCGCCGTGTGGTTCAGGAAGTCGGGGAACACCTGCGCGAAACGAACGAGCGTTAGCACTTCGTATGACGCGGGAGTGGAAGGAGGAGCACTCACCGTCTGTGGGTCAATAATCGGCGCACCCGTGTTAAACGCGGCAGCGCAGTTGTCCGTCGGGTATCTATGCCACAAACGTCGTCAGCGTTGTCGTTCTCGTTCTTTCCCTTCCCCATCCCATCCTCTGCCGGAAAAAAGGGAACGAAAAGTGAGTGGAAGTGAGAAAGAAGATAGACGCCGACACCGCCACCAGCGCCAAGCGCCAAGAATCACCGCCAAGGGAAACCCCTTGAAAATTGTCTAGGGGATCCAGGTAAGACCGTACATCTATCTGTCCTCCTTCATGTCGTGCAAATGTCGGAGGAGTCCATTTGAGGATACGTGCAAGAGGATAGACGCGAAGACCAAGACACCGAGCAACACCGAGATGGCCGTACACCGGGTGCGCATCTCTAGGCGCACGTCCCTGCGTCGCCAGCGCACTAGATCGTGTGGAATAATAGAGTCGTGCTATTAAACCGGCCTCTGGTCTGTGCAACAAAGAAAGAAGCCAAAAATCATAGCTCAAATGTGTATGCGGACGCTGATGGAGTGCAGCGGTACGCCGTGCACCACGTCCCCTCATTTACTCAAGCTGCTAACTAGGATGATTTCATTTGGTGCTGCAAGTTAACCCCACGGGCTGCTTTTTTTCCCCTGGAATTGTCGGGATAATTAATAGTACGCTGGACCGCCTCTGCATACTGCTTCACGCCAGTGGACCGCTGAGTTGCGAGACAGAAAAAAAAAGGAAAGGAAAAAAGGAAGGTGGGGCCAGCCGACTGCGGACGCAGGGAGTCGAACCCTGACAGCTGCTTCATTCCAGTACCTACGACGCATGGAGTGCAGCGGTGCGACGTCCACTTGCTACCCTCATTTACTTACGGTGCTAACTGGGATGATTTTACTAGGAACATGAGGTGGGCAGATGGATTGATATGGGTGCATGTTTTCTTACTGAGGGATTGGGGAATAATTGAGGGCCTATGTTGACCTGTTGAACAAGTTGAATTGTGAGAAAGGAAAAAGAAGGGAAAGGCTTTCGAATACGAGCATGCGGACACGGGGAGTCGAACCCGACAGTTGCTTCAATTTTCTCTCCGAATCCCCATGTCAAGACGAGCCCTAAGTCGGCTAGACGTTGGATGACAGAGAATAACCCGGCCAGGACGATAGTCGAAGAACCCGGTTAGAAAGTAGCACGATACCCCACTAGGAGATAACGTCGAATAACCTCGTCGTCTGGAGGAGGTAGTCGGCTTATGTCGATGGTGGGGGGAGTCGTAAATGACCCAAAGGCGGTATGGTAACCGCCTAAACACCAGACTAGAGAAGATCTCGAGGAGATGAGAATGTAGAACAGAAAGTGAGACAGGGTAAAGGTGAGGTAGTACTGCGTTGTTGTCCAGCCAAGGTAGACTCAATATTAGACGAGGTAGAATCTACAGTACATGAGATTCTACAGAGTTTATATATTGTATTTACCTAGGAGTCAATCGATCGAACTGTCAACACACAGGGTGTGTTTGAACATTCAGGAGTTTCGATCAGGACACAGGGATGTGTCCCTATGTGTTTTGTGGATCCAGGGGGTTCTTATCCCTATATGTTCCAATGATTAGGAATACAGGTATTGAATAACCCGATCGGTGTTGTTAAAGTGACCCGTCCTTGTGTTCAGTGTGACCACGAGAGTTGTGAAATAATCCGGTAGGGTGTAGGTTGGGTTTATGGAATAACCCGGTTGGCGTATGGAATAAACCCGCCGTGAGAAGTTGGAAAGTTGAAAAGGGGTTCGTAAAATGCCAAATCATGACACCCCAAATGAAATGCAGCGGTGCACCATGCACCATAATCCGCTTGCTACTCTCCGTTACTGAAGTTGCCAAGCAATAGGATTTTATTGGACTGCGAGAGAGAAAAAGAGCCATAAGATGTTTCGAAGTCAAACCTTAAATTCAACTGGATGGAACTTTGGGGATAACGGAGTCCTGCCTTGAAAGCTGTGTCTGTGGGCTTGCGAAAACCAAAATAAAAAAGGGATGGATACATTTTCCAGCGCGGACGTGGAGCCTTCAACTGCTTTAATTCCTTCAAGCCATAAGCCCATGGAATGCAGCGGTGTGCCGTGCACCACGTCTGCCTTTCCAATCCTTTGCGCAACTCAGATTAGCCAACAAATTTTGAGCTGACAAAGAAGAGAAAAATCCATGTTCAACCAACATGTCGTCGAGCCCATCAACTGCTTCAATTTTCACGCTTGATATCACCACATGAAATGCAGCGGTGCACCGTGCACCATGACCGCTTACTCTACTCATTTCTTCCTTCTCATAGGTGAGGCGAAAATGAGGTTTTTAAATGGCAAAACAATTCGGGAGGCCAAATGCGGACGTGGGGAGTCGAACCCTGCAATTTTTCTTCGATACAAGGTATGGAATGCAGCGGTGCGCCATGCACCACGTTCGCTTGCTACTCTTGTTTACTTGGACCTCCAAGTATCGGGGCTGCGAGCCACCGCCCAATGGCTACCTTGGTTTCACGGAATGCAATTGTCCAGAGCTGTCAGGATAATTGAGGGCAGTGTCTGTCATGTAGCACGTCTTCAACTCATGATTTATGTAAAATGGGTTGAATTGTTAAATTGCAAGACCAAACAAAAAACCAACTGTGGAAGTTGCATGCGGACACGGGGAGTCGAACCCCAGCAACTGCTTCAATTTTATTTCCAGATCCTAATGAAATGCAGTGGTGCACCGCGCACCATATCCGCTTGCTACCCTCATTTCCTCGAGCCGCTATCTAGGATGATTTTATTGGCACGATTAGTTCATGACCATGGCAGAAACATGGTTACCTGCCGTGCTACCTACCGTGGCACATGCCTGGCATAGTGCCTGCAACATGCCATGGAGGCAAGACTTGTAGTGCGATGGGCACTGCCTCCTGTGTCAGAGTAAGACCTTGTTACATAATCATCAGAGTTTGAATTTACCTTGTATTCTCGTCGTTTCGGCAGCGCAAGGCATTTTTCTCATTTTCTTTCAGGGCAGACACTATTAGTGCATATCTGCGCTGATCTGCCTCCTAAGAATTTCCCGAAACATCCTTGGATTAGGGTTTTAGCACATGGTTCAAGACGACGTGACATAGAAATGATGTTTACCCATGAACTTAACCTCTTCCACAGCAACGTCAAATGGTACTCAAAAAATCCAAATAAATTTAGGCAATCAGAGAAGATGTATGTCATTTTGATTGTTTTGTTTCCAGGTCGCGTGACAGGGAACAATGGGCTCATTCGTGATTATGTAATAAGCTTTTACTCTGATCGGACACTTGAGCTTAAAACAAGACTAGTGAAACTGACTTGGTCACTCGTCAGCCGGAAGGAATCAACTGTAATTAACGGGAAATGTGAGAAGCATATGAATTGGCCATCTACCACTAAACTACTTTCCATAATGAACAAAAGGAATCCACTGAAGCAGTGGGACTTTGGTTCTCAACTTTTTCACCGCCAAGTGCAGGGCTTCCGCAGATTCACTTATGTCGGGGAATACTGGCAGACTTGAAGTTGGGTCCGCATTGCGAAAGAGATGACTATAAAACACCTCCGCAATCTCTGGACAATCGGGGTCCTTGATTGTCCTGGGAGTACTTAGTTGGATTTGATGATGGTTGAAAATTTGAAACTTACCACATTGTTGCAACGACACTGCGGAAGCCAGCAAAAAGCAGAGTTGCGGCGAGATGCATGGCCTCGTCAGGGACGTTCTTGTCTCCCATTGCAGTCTCACAGGCACTCAAGAATGCCAATCCTAGATTCTTCGGATTACTGGATCCACTGTGTGAGACCCCCGACTTTTCCATGATCTGCAACACAGTTAACTTATCATTGCCAACGAGAACTGCACTTTGGAGTGGTTCGCCGGTATTTTGAACCCCGTGGCACGCAAAATGGATGATGGATGATGATTGGAGGAGCTGTAACACCATGTCGACGGATGCAGGGGATTCCAGACTCGTCAACCACTCCTTTGGAATCGTTTCTTCGATCTTGCGTAGTTCATCTATTGTATTCGGTAAGTCTGCAAAGTGGGTGGTGGTGGGCTGAATAACCACAGCGGCTCTGAGTGGGTTGGTGGGACCAAATGTAGGATGAGAGGAAAGAAGTGCTGTAAGAGTGGGTGTATAGGAGGAAATCACGTAGTCAGCTGTAGCCTCTTGCATTGATCCTTCGGTGTATATCCCTGCAGCATGGATGGGCAGGAATGCAAAAGCTCCTGTTGGACACCACCATAGTCGAGGTGGAGTATCCGATTTCTGAAGAATTAATAAGAGTAATCACTGCAGATTGAGTAACTTACTTGAAGACTCAAACATTGAAACACCGGGATTGCAATTCCTGTCCATAGACTGGCCAAGAGATGATGAAACCTGTCAGTGGGACTCTGATTCTTCTCGTACACTAATTTTCCGATGAGACGATCAATTGAATATGAGTTGAAACCTCTTTCCGATAGCGTCGTGAGGAAGGAATTGAATGTGGTAATGGGGGAAGAGATAGCATGCACTATTTCTGCGAGGAGTTTGGCAGAATCCCGGGTTGACATCTCCGGAAGAGGGATACATTGAACTTTTCCCGAGGAGTGCACAATCAGTGCATGGCACGACTCGGATCCAGCATTGAGAACCACAACAGGCCCTTGAGCAGCTGCATGCCGCAGTGTCGATATACGTCTAGGCCGCATGAAGTCTTCGAAGCCTGGCAAGAGGCGAATGGATTCCACAGTTTGAACCCACTCATTATTTAATTGTAGACACTTCAAACCCTCTGCCTCCATGGACATGACTTTGTGATGGCTATCCGATTGGAAGTTTCGCGATGTATCACGGAATGAGCTACGCTCAAGTTCCCACGACAATTCGGCGAGTTTGGTGGCGAGATGAGGATGAGATAGCTGCAGATCATCAACAGATGTGCGAAGATGCAGTGATTGGGACCATAGAACTGAACGGCCAGCCTCCAAGAGTTCAATGGCTAGCTCATACTGACCAAGAGCAATGGCACAAGCCGCGGCATCCGAACCAACATCATAGCTCCGTGACAAGAGTTTCTGGCGGGACTGTAGATCCAAATTAAATGCTGCAAGCTGAGGCAACATCTCAATCGTGACCTGGTAAGCGTGCATCGCCGAGGTGTGATGATTGAGGCTCGCTTTTTGTGCCCAGTCCTTTGCCACTAGAAATCGACTGAGCGGGGAAGCAGATGAATAAACTGACGCTTCTACAAATGCCTGCATGGCTTCGTTGAGATCCTCGGCATTTCCTTGCTGTTCAAACCGTTCATGGAGGATAATCGCAAGGTTGTTGAGGGAGATGCCTCGGTCCAGATGTGGTGCAGCAAGAAGTACGAGGACCTCCCGATGCAGCCCAATGGCCTCGTCAATATCTTCAGCATTTCCTTGCTGTTCAAACCGTGCATGAATGACACCTGCCAGGTTGTTGAGGAATATGCCTCGGCCCGGATGTAATGCAGGACAAAGTGCGAGGGCCTCCCGATTCAGCCCAATGGCCTCATCAATATCCTCAGAATTTCCCCGTTGTTTAAACCGTGCATAAATGACATCTGCCAGGTTGTTGAGGAGATGCCTCGGTCCGGATGTGGTGCAGGACGAAGTGCGAGGGCCTCCCGATTCAGCCCAACGGCCTCATCAATATCCTCAGCATTTCCTCGTTGTTTAAACCGTGCATGAATGACATCTGCCAGGTTGTTGAGGGAGATGCCTCGGTCCGGATGTGGTGCAGGACGAAGTGCTAGGGCCTCCCGATGCAGCCCAATGGCCTCATCAATGTCGTCAACATTTCTTCGCTGTTCAAACCGTGCATGAATGACGCCTGCCAGGTTGTTGAGGAAGCCGCCTCGGTCCGGATGTGGTGCAGGATGAAGTGCGAGGGCCTCCCGATTCAGCCCAATGGCCTCATCAATATCCTCAGAATTTCCTCGCTGTTTAAACCGTGCATAAATGACACTTGCCAGGTTGGTGAGCAATCTGCCTCGGCCCGGATTTAGTGCAGGACAAAGTGCGAGGGCCTCCCGATTCAGCTCAATGGCCTCATCAATATCCTCAGAATTTCCCCGTTGTTTAAACCGTGCATGAATGATACCTGCCAGGTTGTTGAGGGAGATGCCTCGTTCTGGATGTGGCGCAGGACAAAGTGCGAGGGCCTCCCGATTCAGCCTAAGGGCCTCATCAATGTCCTCAGCATTTCCTTGCTGTTCAAACCGTGCATAGATAGTAGTTGCAAGGCCACCGAAGGAGTTGCCTCGGTCCGGATGTGGTGCAGGACGAAGTGTGAGGGCCTCCCGATGCAGCCCAATGGCCTCATCAATATCCTCAGCATTTCCTTGCTGTTCAAACCGTGCATAGATGGTAGTTGCAAGGCCACTGAGGGAGCCGCCTCGGTCCGGATGTGGTGTAGGATGAAGTGTGAGGGCCTCCCGATGCAGCCCAATGGCCTCATCAATGTCGTCAGCATTTCCTCGCTGTTCAAACCGTGCACAGATGATATTCGCAAGGTTGCAGAGGGAGCTGCCTCGGTCCGGATGTGGTGCAGGATGAAGTGCAAGGGCCTCCCGATGCAGCCCAATGGCCTCATCAATATCCTTAGCATTTCCTTGCTGTTCAAACCGTTCATGGAGGATAATCGCAAGGTTGTTGAGGGAGATGCCTCGGTCCGAATGTGGTGCGGGATGGAGTGCGAGGGCCTCCCGATTCAGCCCAATGGCCTCATCAATATCATCGGCATTTCCTCGCTGCTTAAACCGTGCATGAATGACACCTGCCAGGTTGTTGAGGAAGATGCCTCGGTCTGGATGTGGTGCAGGACGAAGTGCGAGGGCCTCCCGATGCAGCTCGAGAGCCTCATCAATATCCTCAGCATTTCCTCGCTGCTCAAACCATGCATGAATGACACTTCCCAGGTTGTTGAGGAAGCTACCTCGGTCTGGATGTGACGCAGGACAGAGTGCGAGGGCTTCTCGATGCAGCTCGACAGCCTCATCAATATCCTCAGCATTTCCTCGCTGTTTAAACCGTGTATAGATGGTATTCGAAAGGTTGCTGAGGGAGCTGCCTCGGTCCGGATGTGGTGCAGGACAAAGTGTAAGGGCCTCCCGATGCAGCCCAAGGGCTTCATCAATATCCTCAGCATTTCCTCGCAGTTTAAACTGTGTATGGATAATATTTGCAAGGTTGGAGAGGCATCGGCCTCGGTCCGGATGTGGTGCAGCAAGAAGTACGAGGGCCTCCCGATGCAGCTGGATGGCCTCATCGATATCCTCAGCATTTCCTCGTTGTTTAAACCGTGTATGAATATAAGCTGCCAGGTTGTTGAGGGCTTTCGGGTGGTTTGCATGTCCTCGTGGTAGAAGGTCAAGCACTCTTCGTCCGCATTCAATTGCCTCGTTTAAGTCTTCCATATCCCCCACTTGGCCAAATTGTGTGTATAGCAAGGATCCAAGTCCTCCCACGAAGGTGCTGTGTCGGGTGTTCCAAACCGGACAAAGGACAACTGCTTGACGCTGGTAGGCAACCACCCGTTGAATGTCATTTGTTTTCTCTGAACATCGGAAACGTTTGTTGAGTGCAGCAGCCAGGTCCATCAGGCAATCACATCTCGTGGCTGCCTGCTTGGAACAGCGACCAAGCTTCGCTTCGCATACGGCAACGGCGTCGTTTAACCCGTTTAGATCTGTCGTGTTCTTCA